CTCCCCAGCAACCCTACAATAACAAAGCCGTGCCAATGCCCAGCGCTCCCCAGCAACCCTACAATAACAAAGCCGTGCCAATGCCCAGCACTCCCCAGCCACCCTACAATAACAAAGCCGTGCCAATGCCCAGCACTCCCCAGCCACCCTACAATAACAAAGCCGTGCCGATGCCCAGCTCTCACCACCAACCCTACAATAACAAAGCCGTGCCAATGCCCGGTGCTCCCCAACAACCCTACAATAACAAAGCCGTGCCGATGCCCAGCGCTCCCCAGCAACCCTACAATAACAAAGCCGTGCCAATGCCCGGTGCTCCCCAACAACCCTACAATAACACAGCTGCTGAGGGCTCCAGCATTCGAAGCCACGCAGAGAATGTCTCCACCACCTCACAGCCTGGTGAAGATTTTGCATCGCTAGCAGCCTGGGCTGGATTTGAACCCGTGCCTCGAGCCCCCCTCCCATTCCCAAGCCAGCTGGGGCTCGACTGGGCGTCCGCGCAGGAAGCAGCTGCCGCCCCCCAGCCCATCCCGCCACGCTCCCCTGACAAGTGCTCAACACAACCCAGCGCCTGGGAGAGAAAAAGGCCCCGTAAGCCCCATCCCCGAACCAGCTGGGGGCCTGCAGGCAGGAACATTCAAAGTGGGGGAAGCACCGTTTGCTTTCCTCCCCACCACGGCGAACCTCTGGCAGACGGCGGCCGCCACCAGCCAGCAAGCAGACCCCTGAAAATCGGGGGGGACCCTCGACCAGTCCCGGACCAAGCCTTTGCCCGGACACCCTGCCTCACTGACCGTGGGCTCCCGTTGAACCAGTGACCTCCTGATGTTCCATTACCACCTACTGAGTCATCCCCTCTCCTCCGGGAGGATGAGGTCACGCGAATTGGCCAAGCACGTCTCTCTCTATCTCTCTCCTCCTCCTCTCCCCTTCCCCCAGCTCTCGGACAGGCTGTAGCCGGCTCAGTCCTTGTGCGGATCCCGCTGCACCGAGCTCACCCTGGGGGCGCTGGGGCCAGGCACCCGATGGGGAGGTGTCCGTGCCCAGCGCCGCCGCGGTACCGAGCGCCACCCCAGCGGGCAAGCCCAGCTAGACGCCGCGCCAGGGAGGTGGCGCCGACGGAGAGCTGGGCCTAGGCCCCCTCCCGGCCCATTGGCTGCTCTTTGGGGTCTGCCTAACACAAACGAATTCAGCCCTGCCAGGGATGGGGGGGGAGAGGAGGGAGGGAAGGGGGGGAAGGACTCAGAGCTGGGCCCCGGGTGGACTCGGGCGGGGAGCTCACAGCAACCAGGCTGAGGGCGGCTGGCAAAGGAGCGTCCAGTTTCGCACCCAGGTGGCAGAAATGGCACCAGGGAGGCAGCAAACACCAGCTGGGCGGGTGAGTGGAGAGTAAATACGGGCTGGGCCGATCTATGTCCCGAGCCGGGGGCCCTGGCCAAACTCTCAGCAGGGGCTCAGGACTCCTGCTGCAGCCTCACCACCCTGCCCAGGGGGTCTGGCCCTGGGGTGCCCCTGCAGCCACCCCAAGCCTGGGAAATGGGGGCCAGGAGCCCCGGATCTCCGCACACCCCACGCTGTACGCTGCTGCCATGTCCCAGGGAAGGCACTCGCCTACAGCCCCGTCACCCTGGACATTTGCCCAGAGGTCCCATTCCTGGCCAGCAGGGAGGTGCCTGCACAAGCCATGTAGTTTGTTGCTGGCCGGCAGGTCGGGGTAGGGCAGCAGGTCAAGCTGGGGGAAGTGGGGAGTGGAAGTGGGTCCAAGTATGGGGCCAGGGAGTGGCACCAGCCGGTGGGGAAGCGGATTTTGGGCATATAGGCTGGGCAAGGCTCAATTGTAAGGGCTGGGTATGGGCAGCGGGAAGCTGACTTCACAGTCAACCTGTGGAACTCCTTGCCAGAGGATGTTGTGAAGACCAGGTTCAAAAAAGAGCCAGATAAATTCATGGAGGAGAGGTCCGTCAGTGGCTATTAGCCGGGATGGGTAGGAATGGTGCCCTAGCCTCTGTCAAAATCACTGGATGATTCCTGTTCTGTTCACTCCCTCTGGGGCACCTGGCATTGGCCACTGCAGGCAGCCAGGAGACTGGACTAGATGGGCCTGTGGTCGGACCCCGTGTGGCCGATCTGATGAGTGGAGGTGCAGGCAGGGAATGGGGGTGGATTGCCAGCGATGGGAGGGGGTGACATTCAGATGGGGAGCACAGTCCATAGATCTCCCCAAAAACCTTTCCAGATCCCCTGGCACCCAGACCGCAGGGGTTAACCAGCTGGAAAGGGGGCGCCATCCCCAGCCGCCTGGGACAGACCCGCTCCTCCCGGCCCATGGCTCAAGGGCACAGGATACGTTCAGACTGGAGCGGCACTGGGGGAAAAGTCACCGTCCAAAGGAGAGGGGAAAAGCTCTTCCCCGCCCCCGCCCAATGCCTCGCACATCTGCCTCAAGAGCCCCGAGTTCAAGGCTCTGTCCTTCCCACTGTGAGAGCCGGCGGCAGCTCGGGGGTCCCGGAGGCAGCTCCGGGAGCGGGGGGGGCGCACCCGCAGCCGGAGCCGAGCAATCCTGGAGGTCGGGGTGCCAGGTTAAAATCACCCGCTCAAAGTGCGACTTGGACGCGGTGCTGGATTCCGAACAGCATTTGCAAAAGCCCCCGGGGGTACGTCTACACTGCTGAGTAAAACCTCAGAGCCCAAGCCAAGGAACCCAGGTTTGGGGGGCTCCGGCTGCAGGGCTGAAAACAGCCAGGCGAATGCTCCTGCTCCGGCCGGAGCCTGCAATCCGAATCCCTCCCCTCTCGCTGGGTTTCAGAGCCCGGATTCCAACTATTTCTAACCTCGCAGCCCCGCAAGCCCAAGCCAATTGAGCTGGGCTCCAAGACACAAGGCCACAGGTTTTTCTTTGCCATGTAGATGCAACCAAACTGATTGAGAAGTCTAAGTACCAATGTAGGATAGGCTCCTAAATCACTTAGGCACTGATGCCATTTTAACCCTAAAACTCCTGTTAAAATGTCCTGAGATTCTAATGACAATTCACAGTACAATTCAGATTAACAGAGAAGTGAAGTGTGTGATTCAAATTGCCATCCAGATTAAGATTCAGATCAAGTTTATTAAAACACTGATTCAAATGATTAGGGTTCAGATTAAGTTCCCGGCTCGGCCCTGCAAGCCCTTAAACCTGTTTAACTCTTCGGTCTGTTTCATTTCCCTGGGAATGCCCACGTGCAGAAAAGAAAGATCTTGCGTAAACAGCTGCAGGACCAGGGCCTCACGTTCAAATCCAGAGTCAAATCCAGATTGCATTTATTCAAAGTAAAATTCAAATGAGGTGTATGCAAAGTAAGCCGAAGAATGAAGTTCTGATGCCAGGTAGGACAGATTTTAAATGTATTCAAAGGGAGATGCAGGATTCAAATGCCATTCAAATTAAGATTAGGCCTCAGCTGGAGGATTGTGTCCACTTCTGGGCACCACATTTCAAGAAAGATGTGGAGAAATTGGAGAAGAGCAACAAGAATGATGAAAGGTCTAGAGAACAGGAGCTATGAAGGAAGGCTGAAAGAATTGGGCTTGTTTAGTTTGGAAAGAAGACTGAGAGGGGAGATGATAGCGCTTTTCAGGTATCTAAAAGGGTGTTACAAGGAGGACGGAGGAAAATTGTTCTTGGCCTCTGAGGACAGGACAAGAAGCAATGGGCTTAAACTGCAGCAAGGGAGGTTTAGGTTGGACAGTAGGAAAAAGTTCCTAACTGTCAGGATGGTTAAACACTGGAATAAGTTGCCCTGGGAGGCTGTGGAATCCCCATCTCTGGAGATATTTAAGATTAGGTTAGATAAATGTCTATCAGGGATGATCAGGATGGTGCTGGGTCCTGCCATGAGGGCCGGGGACTAGACTCGATGACCTCTTGAGGCCCCTTCCAGTTCTAGTGTTCTAGGATTCGATGACTCTAAGATGGGCGTTTCAGACGACAGATTCCCCGCCTCAAAAGCCAGAAGGGACAACTTTGAACCTGGCGTCTGAGCTCCTGCATCACGCCGGCCAGAGGGCTGCCCTGAATTCAATCCCGTGGGAACGGGAGCCTGCCTTTCAGCACAACATCCCCTCTCAAGGTTAAAATTGCCCATGC